TGAGATAATAAATCTGTACTAAGATGTTTGATGCTTATTTTTAGTATTAATTTGACAAATGAGAAGAAAATGTCCTGCTAAGGCTGTTGATCTTATTTCTTTATGAGTGTGTGCTCTGACTCTCTACTTAACAGCTGAAATAAATTTAATTGGAAAGCTATTATTAGTCTCTCTTATTCTTCACCAAAGCATCTTTTGTAATCACTGACCTCCAAAACTACATTGAAAAGCAATTTATTATGTACAATTCTACATTTTCACAGTTAACTTTGAGTATCCTTTCAGTTAAGTAATTTTAATCCTTTTCGGCAAGCCAAGCAAAGACTGGTTTGTTTGTAAAGCACTATTCACGCACAGGACATGTATTTGAAAATAATAAATAGGTAAATAAAAAAAAATAAATAAAGAAAAGCTATCTTACAACAAGAAACACATTTATGAAATGTACGCACCACCCAAAAAGAAACAGATAAATTGCTAAAATGTAAAAACAAAAAATAAAAAAAAATAAAGATATGTAGAGCTTCAAAATGCAAAAAACAAGAAATGGGAGTCCCTGTCTGCTGAACAAGAGTAAACAAAGTACCAGACAACCCCAAAGACTTTCCATTCAATCAATCCATGTGTTACAGTCGACAGTCTCAAATATAGGCACTGCAATTCTTTTTGTGAAAGAGAAGAATGATAAATGTGGATTAAAACCAAAACATTTCACTTCCATTTGCTTGCTTTTGCAACTTGAAAGTGTTTTTTATTGGTGGTTTCATCACGAACTCAAACATGTTAAATTATGGGTTGACATGATGTTCAAAAATAGCTTGAACTTCTTTCACTTTGAATGGTGGGTGTTGCTCAAGGGAAACACTTTTCTCACTTTGTTGCACCTCCAGCAGAATGGATTTTGTCACACATATTAAAGACATATCTGAAGCAAGTGGTGGCACATCAAAGGAGAGGTGGGAAACAAAAAGCTCCTTGTTAAGGGACGATGTTGCATAAGCAGACACATAGGAACGGAGGTGGTGTGAGGGGTAATGGAATAATGGTGCTGACAATCAACCGGTGGAAAGTCTGTACTTTTAACCAGCAGGGGTGAAGGAGTTTGTTGACACTTCTAGTATTAACATGGAATTAGCAGTCTGATCAGATGGTAGATAAGATGGAGGGAGGAACAAAAATCTGCAACAAAATTTCCTTTTTGAGGTTGACAAATAGATGAGCAAGAGTTCACTCGTGTCCAGCAGACGGTCCTCCTAAGATTTATGGATCCAAAAGAGTTTTTCTCACCGCTCTTTTTCAATGCTGAGACATTGTGAGTATATTTTAGATAAAGAAGGGAGTTAAAATGCATTGACTCTCACCTTAGTGCGAACGTTAAAATGAACACAGCGTAGCAGATCTTCTATTTTAACAGCATTTTTGTAGCTTCTGGCTCTGTATCTCTGTCAAAAACATGCCTGCTGACAAAACGTATTCCTTTAATCAAGACATCGGAGTTTTGTTAAATGTGTCAATGCTTTGTGCTTTCAGAGGTACATGATTTATCATCGTGAGAACGAACAAACCTTTGGGCCGTTCGGGTTGACAGACATTATTTTCTCCACTGAATTCCACCTGCTGTTGAACATTTATTAAAAAATAAATCATTTTGAGAACAATCTGGAGATGGAGAACAGATGGGGTGAAGAGGAAAACCATCTCTTCTCTCTTCTGTAGTTGCACTGGTTAATCTTTTTCTTGTGGTTCATAGTTTTGGTTTCCTGTAGGGAGGTACAGTTATTTTTTTTTTTTTTTTACTGCTCTTGGGCATTTTTCATCTTTGCTGTTCACCAAACCTTATAATTGTCTCAGTCTTGGTGTCTTTGCTTTGAGGACCTCTTACATGTGCATATTTCAGCCAGTGGTTCCAGAATAAGAGAAAAGCCTTTTTCGTTTTTCCATGAAAATTCAAAATGTTTTTTTTCTTTTTTTTTTTTTTTTTTTTTTTTTAGCTCAAGCAAAAATAATGCTCCTAACTATACATAACCCTAGTTTGCATCAGGTCTGTGCTAAAGCAGACACAGGAAATATGTGTCTGCTTTAGCAGACAGATCAATTTATTGTACATCATACTATGCTATCGCTGAAAGTTATATGTGGAATTAACAAAAATGTCATACTAAAGATGAGGCTTGTGAAAGTTAATATAAATATAAAAAGAAATTAAACAACCTGAAAACTCAACTCCTGTAATGTTTATGAAATATGAGTGTATCAGATGATGCATAGTGTGTGTATGCTGGGATAAAGGGTACCAAATTTACAGTGCTCTGCTATGTAAAGACAGAACAAACTACTTTGCTGCAGTTTCACTTTCTTGTTTTCATTCGACTGATTAATGAAGGTTTATATATCTGAGTAAATTTCTGCACCCAGTTTTCAAATGAGAATTGAATATATTAAGCAAAAGAAGCTATCAAAACCAACTAAGGCCTTTGTGAAAATGTAATTGCCTCCTAAAGCAGCAACTGATATAAAATGTTTGTGATAAGTGGCAGTAAGTACTCAACATTACACAGACATTTGCAGAAATGTTTTCACTCAGCCGCCTTGATGGGTATCAAAGTATGAATGATGTCTTTAAGATCTAAGTGCAGCAGCTCAAAGTGTTTACGCCTAGACTTTGACAAAACCTCTCCAGAATAGTTTTTTTTTAGTCATTCAAAGGTCGTGGATGTGTCAGTGCTTTGGATCATTGTCCTGCTACATCGGCAAAATTTCATTGGCTTTAAGTTCAAGGTTAATGATTCAATCAATTATGGCAGGTTGTCCAGAACTGGAGGCAAAGCAGCCCCAAACCATCACACTATTGTCATTGTAATTGACTGAAATGGTAAATTTACGGAAACTGGCCAAAAGCTGTTAGTTTTTGTTTTAGGTAATAAGACACACACCTTCCAGAATATTCCACTTTTCTCTCCTCAGTCCACAGTTTATTTTTTTCCAAATGTTGTCATCATGAAGATGATTTTTTGGCTAAAGTAACATGGGCCTTTCTGCTGTTCTTCTTTTGTTTTTTGAAGAGTTTTAAAAAAGGTTTTGAAACTTTTTCCATTGGGCCCACTCATTTTCTTTGTTATTGTTAAATCTTGAACACTGACGGCATCTGCAGTGCTTCAGATGCCGTTCTGGGTTGTTTTGTGAGCTCCTGGTTAAACTGTCTTTGTGCTCTTGAATTCATTTTGGTTGACTGGCTCTCTTGCTAATTTTGACCATTCAGCATATTTTCTCCTGCTGTGGATTGTGATTATTTTGGGTAATTGATGTTGCCAAGTCTTTGTAGCCTTGTAACCTTGTTTTGAATGAGAGATTTATATAATTTCTTAATTATTTTTTTTATTATCTGCTCATTTTGGGGTATTTCATCTGTCAGAAAGGTTATGTTTAAATTGCTATTTGTTCTAAAAAATTTATTAAGATCCCAATTAATTCAGGTTTTAACATCACCATTTGAAACCTTTCACTATTTGTTTGATTAAACATCAAACAGATTTTAATATTGGATAAAGTTGACCTGAGTACTCCTCTTTCACAGAACTGTACAGTATGCTTGATCAGCCATAAGCATTGGTCATTCATGGACATCATTTTTAAATATCTACTTAAAACACCCCCCAGAAAAAAGACCTTTGTTCAAATTTATGAGTTTCATTTAAATTTTGCCTAAACAAAGGCAATGAAAGTAAGGTTGGATCAGCCCATCTGACTGACTCCTTCCACTTCTGACCCACTTTTAGACATCAACGGTCGTCTTTATTGGGATTTATTTTCGCCTTAAAATTTTCAATTACAATTCTACATTCCTCAAACAAAAGGTAACATTGATTTGTTTTTAAGCAGCCTGGCAGAAGATCCAGTAAAAAGTAAAAAATGTGACTGGCCTGTAGAGACAACATGTTCCTTGAAGAGGATTTTGTTTTTTTGTATTTTCTCACACCCTCAGCTTGCATCAAAGTTACATTGATTATATTTTCAGGTACGGCAATGCTGAGGTGCGCTGGTTGGCACTGAATCAATTATAACATTGCATCAGATGCACAACATTCTCTTGCTCAAATCACTGCCATGCAGGCTTTTCTGTTTGAAAATTGGAAAGTTTGTCTTTGCCTGCATGTTTTTAAAATCTGTAATGTTAGGTGAGATGATGCTTGATGGTAAGCTTGATGGATTAATAATGTCCAGGATTTACACTTTTATATCTCGTTACAGAGAGCCTCTATTGTGAAGATGTAACCACTAACCTAATTTCCCTTGCTTGTCCCTTAATTTGTAAGCATGCTCTTCACTGAAGCGCAAAAAGATACATAATGACCTTGACTGACAATTTTCTGAATCAACAGTCCACTGTTTCTGTGGCAAACTGAGTGCTTTGTCCTTTAAAATTCAATAACTCAGTAAATTCCTGTCTTGTTTATCTAAGCAGAACAATCTTCCCATAATGTTAGGGATATTTGTGACTCTTGAACAAATTGTGACACCAAAAAGATTGCTTCACTGATCTCTCTCGACATGTTGCACTTACTTGATATCCTGGCAGTGCCTTCATCTTCTGAGCTAATCTGACTTTAGGGTGTCCTACTGAAACCCCCTGTTTGGAATAATGAGTCTGATGCATTTACTTTGTGTTTACAGGGAGACCTGGTTTTCTGTATAACAAACAGTCGTAAATGAGACGGAAAACAGCACTGATCATAAAAGGCCCGTATAATAGGTAGCTTCCGAAGGTTAAACTGAAGACCATATTGCAGATGAAAGGAAACCTTTAAACTTCTAGACTAGCGTCTTTGTGCTATTTCACTTACTGTTTAAAAATTGATAGAGCCTTCTCACTTCTCTTTCTGTAGATCTTCATAAATTCAGAAGTCTTTTTCTTCCCCCAAAAAGGACAGGTGCTGTGGATCAGTCAGATCTTTTTCCACACGCAGTGTTTATTACATACTAGATTTTCTACATATCATGAGTGTTTTATTTCAAATTGGTTTGAAAAACAAAAACAAAAACAACTTACATAACCATTTTGTTAATACAAGGTAATGGGACAATGAATAAATGCACACAACCAGACACTCTGTTTTGTCCGATCCTTTCAGATACCTAAGATTTGGATCAAAAATCATAATTAGCGAATATTTTTGGCACATACAAGCATCTTTTGTGCTTATCCCTTAGTGGTTTACAGCAGCAGAGTTGCCAAAGAGCACATAATCTTTATTCATAAATGACTTGATTTGTAATCTAAATACAAAACTCTTCTAAGAAGATTATCTGCACAATGCATGAGAAAACCTTCCATTTAGGGAGATTCAGAATTCATGGCTCAGAGAGATGTTGACACAATTAATCCTAGAACACAACACATTTTGCACATCTATTACCTAAAAAAAGATTTATGGAAAAATTATGGATTAGTGTCAGAAAATAAAAGAAACTCATTCACAATGTTAGCCTTGCACAATTTATTATGCAGCAAGATTTTGTAGGCAACCATGTTTGCATGATAGGTTGTGGTTCTAAATTACGAAAAAGTTCAAAAAAATTCAGGACATTCACAAAATAGAAGACAATTGGTACAGAAGAATGTAAAAGCCTATGTAGAAGACCTTGTATCTCATTACCCTAAATTATAAAATCAATATATGTAGTCCAATAACTTTACCATGCATATGTGAAAACAATAAACAGGCAATTTAACAAACAACTCCAATGTGAAGTGTACACATTTCTCAAACATTGAAAAAACAACGTAAGAATGAATACTTTCAAACCTTACAGGGAAAAGTTTTATAGTTTGAGACCATGAAAAAGTTTATTATAGTTTGAGACCATGAAACTATAAACCTATAAATCATACCAGACCTTTCCAGTATTTCTCAAAGCAGATAAATAATTTTAAGAGCACTTTGTGTTGGCAGAAAAATATTTGCAGCCACACTCTACTTAAAAACAAGCAGTCAATATAAAAAGGAGCTTTTTAACAGGAATATCAAATAAGTGAATGCACCAGTAGTTGCAGTAAATATTATTATTATTACTATTATTATTTTGTGACTGGCAGCATCCAAAACATCTTGTCATACTCTGCTTATCTGTCAATTTTTAAATGAAAATTGCATATTTTGTTGTATTTAATTTTCATTTATTATAATATTCAACCTTAACAGAGAATCCAGTTAATGCTATCAGACATCAAGCAGATGAATACATGTGACATTTTCTCCAAAATAACTGAACCTCTGACTATGGCCCCAGTAAGTACAAAGAATGGACAATTGCAACTAAAATATGAACATTTACCCTCTGCGGCCAGGATACACAATCTAATAACTTTCCCATGTCCTGCAAGATGCTGAATTCCTCATCTGCTTGTTCATTATCAAATGTTTCAAGCTTGTTACAGAGGCTATTGTTATGATATTTTGAACTTTGCCTCTGCCTTAGACAAATTCCTTCTAATGGAAATTTAGATGCTTTTCTGGAGGTTAACTCCACACTCTTGAAATAGACTTTCTGAACAAAGGAATTTATCATCCTTCAAACATCTGTTTTATTAAGAGGAACTCCTGCAGAATGTACTCCTTTTGCACCAGTAGTTCAGCTGCAGCAGAGTTAGTGTAGTGGTCACAGATGCGCTCCAAAACCTCCATAATTCTTCAACATGCTGTCAGCTCCTGGATAGTGAGATGCATTTAGGTCAGTGTCCAGAAATTATGCTTAGATGCTCTCATGGTAATCTTGTTTGATTGAATTAGTTACACATACTCTGAGTATAAAGTTGAAAATGTCTGTCCGCACCAAGTACTTTGAATTCTGTCAAAATAACAGATGGCCGACAGATTTTTCCATCAACGTTTACATACAAAGAAAAAACGAAATACTCAAAGACGGAAAATATTTGGCTAACGTGACCACTGGTGTTACATATGCTATTTGTAACTCTTGTTACAAATAGCATATTTCTTACAGGATATTTAACAAGTGCTGCATATGTGAAGACATTTTGCATCGCAACCCTTCATTAGTAAAAAGCACAATTTGTGCAATTCTGTTGCTTAGCTTTTCCTTTTGCACAGAGCACCTAAATATGTCAGAACTCATCATGTCTGTAAAACAGCTCTAATGAGGCTTCTGGACAAAAATGAAAAAGCAAACAATTGCAAAAGCTAAGCTTAAATGCAACCCAGTATTCTGTCTTCATTTTCTCTCATATCTTCCTAAAAATTGCAAGTCAAGCAGTAAATCCTTATTGTCTGTCACCTGACTTAGATGTCAGGGTTTTTTTTTCTTTGAAAAAAATATAAGAAAAATAAGACATAAACATCACTCACACGCACCAAAGGCTTCTGACTCTGCACAGACATCATTTCATCAGAAGTGCCATGATGCTGAAGAGGCCCTTTTCGACTTCTGGTGATCATAAGCCCTCATTCTCTATTCTGGCTCATCGAGCAGCTGTCCAAACAGAGCTGAGTTTGCTCAGGTACTTGTCCTTGATGGAGAAAGCTGCAGTGTCTTAGTTAACGCTACACACTGTGTTGAGGCAAAGCACGTTGGCTAAATCCTGACCCACTTTTAGTGTCTTTGTGCTTTCAGGATTTAGATCAAGTAATATCCAGGGAGATAAATGTCATACTGCCTAACAGGCTGTGTGGAGTGTGTCATGAGGCAAATGAATTAAGCACATATCAGAGGGAGGGAGAAGGGTGTCTACCTTTTGTAGATGTGTGAAATCCCCCTCCATCCAAAACAATAAGAAATAGATGATCTTCTGCAACAAATATAATGCAGAAGATCATATTGCAAGTGAGGCACTTCAAACATGTTTTGATGTGCCTGCTTCAAAAGGCAACTGAAAAGCTGTTTTGTGAATTAAATTTGATCACAGGAACTCAAAAAGAAGTCAGTTATGAACATTTATTTGAACAGTAGTGACCTTGTCTCGCTTCTATCAATCTCTGACGTTAATTACCGTGTGCCATATTTAGAGGTACAGAGAGCATCATTCATTATGAAGACCCAAGGAAATGACTAGAAGTGAAGCTGTACTGAGCAGCAGGAGGATTTACCAGCAGGGCTGTAAACTGGCTGTGACATTTGGTCAGGACGCTGGCAGTGGGCTCGACTTACTTAATGAACTAACATGTTCCTGTTGGCAGCCCTAAGTGTACCATTTATTACAACAACTGGGGTAAAGACACAGGGTGCAGTCGGTCAGGCCTGAAATCACAGCAGTCGCTAGATGAAAACATCTCACCATTTTAATAATCGGGATTTTCAAAATAAAAATAAAAAAACGGAGGACAATAATAATTTGAAAAATAAGCATTCAATGCATCAATATCTTTCTCAGTGATTATATTTCTAAAGAGGCTATTCACATAAAATTCTCCTCACCACAAACATTATATTCCAGTTACGTCATTACACCAATGAACTAACTGCTCATCATCTTTGGAAAAAAAAACTGGAGTTAAAAATACTTTTCTCGTTAGTACTTACCCTGGGGCGTCCAATTTTATTTCACATAACTTAGTCTGCAGACTTGTGTGAATTATTTTCTAGAACCTGGTGTGAATTTCATGCCAATAGCCCCATAATAATACATTTACTGAGAAAATGTTAACATATTCCATGGTAATTTCTGCTACTTTATCATAATACAACCAAATTGAAGTTTTATGAAAACAATAAAATTCTGTGTCTTTGAAGCTACAAATGCAAACTCTGTAGATTTTAGGAGAAACAGAACTATATAGCCAAAGGATATTATATATTATAGTCTATGCCCATAACAATCAGACTTGAAAGTTTTATAGTCCACCAGGTGTCCCACAAAGTATGCCTGTAAGACAAACAGAGAGGAGATAAACATGTGATGCACGAAAGGCACATGCCAGAAGAATATTCACTGTCTATATTTACACAAATCCTTTGCCATTCATATAATTGTTTCAAATTCTTGCTGAAATCAAAAGTCATTAGCCGTATGTGGGACTAACGCATAGTTTGTTAAGATAATTTGGGAACAAAAACATGTGAAATCATTTTGTGACAGACTGGAATTGCCAGATTGCATTTTCAGGCACCAACTAAATCCTGCAGGGATCTGAAAAACTGCTGCATCTTTCCTCATAACTGGCAGGAATGATGACAAGGCTGACACACTGATGATGGAGTCAGACAAACCAGTTAGCCTCAAAATGAGCTGCAGTACAGTATATTCCAATAGCATCATTCCAACCAACACCAGCAGGGAAGAAGACAAAAAAAATCTCAAAAGACTTTCACATTCTCTGTAACAACTGAGAAATGTGTTTGTTTGTCTGAATGGTAGAACTTGGGGAAAATGTCAATCAGTCCAGTGGAAATGCTTCAGAATCCATGTTACAAACAGTCAAAAGGAGTTTGACTAGAATAATATTTAATAAAGCCAACAAATCATGTGAAAACTTGATTCTTTATATTGATCACAGTTGTTTACTACCACATTCACTTGGTACTGTCAGTATAACCGTATCTCTGTGACAACAATTACCTGGATTTTCACGTCGTTCCACAAAGGGATGTAAACAATATATACGTACATGATGAGTAAATCTATATACGGCTGGCTATTTTCGCTAAAACAGTTCAAAATGGACTATTTAGATTATATTTCTTCTTTTAATCACATCATGTGTTCTTTTGTGTTGTCTTGCGGGTCAAAAGTGTCTCACTAGCATGTTTAGCTGTCAAAAAAATACCCTAAACAACCTTTTTCCAACTTGAAATTTTATGACAATTGACTCCATCATTAGAAAAAGTGATACTTTGTTTTTGTGTATGTTTCCATAAACCTTTACTGTATAAAAGAAAAAGTATGACAGTTGGTGTTTTGTAAAAAGAAAAGAAAAATGTAATACTGTTGATCGTCTTTTTGTATTGTGTAACCAAAAAAAAAAACCTGATAAAAATGAATTAAATTGATAAATAACAGATTGTTTCATCAAGTAAAATAGATTTTGGATTTAAAATGACGAGTAAATGTAAGTAAACTGCTTTATTTTGGAGCTTTTGTTAGGGTCATTTTTGACCCGCTGAGCAAGGGGAGTAAACAGAATCTTAAGATCGCATGAGTAACCTTGTGCAATCTTTCAATCCAACTACAAACAACACAACAATTTAGCATATTTTCTTGTTGTATTTTTACAATAATGGTTTACAAAGTTTTCCAAACAAGAATGCAACAATCTCTTCAAATGGATTTTTATGAGTATGATAAATAACACTTGTGTCCTTGGTTTGTAGCAGTCTGAGCCTTCGGGTCTGACATTTGGGCTGGGTGAGCATCAACTGCGACTCAGTAATTCCCCTCGATCCACTGGCTGTCTCTTTGCGAATCCCCTGGTTATAATCTGTCAACTAACGTACAACATCCAGGGTGACATTTTTGTATGGAGATGCAGCTTTTAGCCCGACACAATCAGCTCGTCCTTGAAATGGATACAGAGGTAGGCTAAAGCTCCTCACTGTCACCTAAACCTTTGCAAACAAGCGTTTATCATGTTGTTATGAGCAATAAGGGTGCAATTATTAAAGGAAATAAAAACACTCAGCATAAGACTTGGCAGGCATCATTTATTTGTTTCCAGTTGCTTAGCAAAACTGGCGAGTGCGTAATGCTGCAGACGGAGAACGCCTCGCTCTCTAGCAGCCAGTCTGAACTCAGGAGCAGATGGTGTCATTACATGACCACAGAATGTGTTGGTATTAGCTCAAGCTGTGGGAGGTTTATTATCAATCATACATATTTATTTTCATTTTACTTTCAGAGGACATGTCATTACGAACAACTCCATAGACAAATCTGCATAGGAATAAGAAGAAATTTTTGTTGTTGTATTTTGTTCTTTGAAGGGAAAATTTATAGAAAGAAACAAATAAATCTGTAACAATAATCATATCAGGACTATTCAGTGGCTACAGTCTGAAGAGCTTCTTGCATGAGTGGTGCCTTGCTTTTAAGGGGCTTTAAGGGGCTACACATCCAAACACAAACCCACTTAGTCTTAATTTCACCAATATGCCTTTTCTGACAGGAACACTTTAAAGTGGCCCAGCCAATTCTGGCTTAAACGGAACATAATCTGTGGTGGGAGCTTAAGATCAGGGTAACAGCAAGGATGAATTTCAACATTAAAGTTATAAAAGGGATAATAAGTTTGGCCTACTTTTTAAATAATTGTTTTTATCTAGTTTAAATAAAACATTGAAAATCTATTTTGAAACTCTTCACATCATATTTCCTTCTATGTGAAGAAAATGCCTTGGTTAAACAAAAGTAATTTTAATTTCAAATCTGCCTGTGGCATGGCTTGATCATGATTTAATCTGCTGAAAATACATAGAATGCATAGCTCCTTTGATATGATAATGGAAGTAATTTTAGATTTCACTTCCTTACCTGTGGGTCTTCCATCATGTCTCACATTGGATTTTCCTCCGAAGTCTGCTTCTGTCTCTGTCTGATTAATTAACAAAAACGGAGCCCATAGTTTATTCTTTACAGAAACAAAATTGTAACAGTGGTTTGTTATTAAATATCAGTGTGCATATTTTTAAGGTTGGCGTGACATCTCAAAAACATCGCCAGAGGTGATAGAGTTGGCAAGGGAACAAAACAAACAGCTGCCAGTGTTTTATTGTGCCCCAGGCTCCTGGCCAGGCCTGCCCTAATGGACAAGAATCACTGCCGAGCCCATGCATGGATTGATGGCAAAGTGATGAAATGCCAGCTCCATAGACCGTAAGCACCTTAGGATGTATTCTTTGTACAAAAAAATAAAATAAAACCTGCTTTATTTATGTATTTTTATTAAACTATTTTATTTGTATCTGAGAGGAGCTTTATCTGCAGCATTCAGTTGAAAGTGATCCATGGACATCCATGGCAAATTTGTGGATTTTTATTTGGCTGATTTGCTGTTGGAGGAAGGTTTGTTATGAAAATGAAGCAGACCATGTTTCTGGCATCCACTGATGCATGGACCACTTCCAAACCGCAGGTGCAACTAAAGTTTTAGCTGAAACTTGAAGGAACAATTCCTTTTTGTATCAAGAACAATTATCAACACGGAGTTGAAAACTATAGTTTAGGCATTTAAATCCTTTATTTTGTCTTATTTTTTAGCAATTAGGAAACACATATTTGACAAACAATCCTCTATAAATCACATCCACTCTATTTGTGTTGTCTTTGTATCAAGCTCTGTTATTTTCCTTTCTGAGCAGCTTTTTTGTTTCTTTACTTGCTTTCTTCCTCAAACTTTATAGAATAAGGAGAGCTATTGTATTGTGGCACACAATTGTTTCCAACAAGTGAGAATGAACCTTGAAAAATAGTCTTTGTGGCAACATGACACATTCAAGTCCAAACGAAAGAGACATTCAATTAAATATTAATTAAGCTTACGAAATAATTGAAACAAGTCAACAAAAGACGGTGGGTTATTGTTTTGAAGGTGTCTTACGAAACAATGAATAACCTACCCAAGAATTTTCTCTTTGGATGAAGATGAAAATGTGTGAAGGGAATCTTCCATCTTGAATCTGTCTTCTTTGTGCCCTTCATAAAAATACACACACACAAAAAAAACAATTGTACAAAAACTCTTTGGTCAAAACAAAATGCATAAGATCCAAGAGGAAGTGCAGGCAGGAGCTCTGGATGTATGGAGCATTGAGTGAAACAGAGCTGCCCTTCTGTTACCGTGGCAGATGGTTGAAAGAGGACTACAACACCCATGTATGTTATTAAAACAATATTGTTTATGTCATCAAAGCAGATGACATTAACAACGTTTTAATAATTAACACAATATTTAAGGAGCAGGAATGACAAAGCATTTTGAGTTAGTAGAATTAATACTGAGAGTCTACATAATATTTTATAAATAGTTTAGAGATAATCATCCAAAAATTTTAATTTCACATATTTGATTTTATTGCTCATTTATATTCAGAAGAGTTTATGTTACATCTTGTTGACATTGATTGTGTTTCTGATCCTAGTTTGTGAAAACTGAATCCACTAAGAGTTTATTTTATGATCAGGATCAGACAAAAGAACTACTGTATTAGTGACTCACTAGAAATGGATGTTATTTTTCAGTTATATAACTACTTTTCTTTACAGCAAGCTCTGAGCTGAGAATGAAAAGAATTATTTAAATCACTGGCTGTCAAAGTGGGAAAAAAAACTCTTACAAAGTCAAGTATGTATTGATGCACAGAAGCAACCAAAAAAGCTTTTTTTTATTGATCTATACCTTTTTATTATTACTATTATTAGTTTTTTTTTCTCTAACATTTTTCTCAACTAGTGTTTTCTACAAAGTTAAAGTGGAAACATATCTGGATCATACCTTGATCTTGGGTGCACATATTTGTTCATTTTTATCTTTAATAATTTCATGCTGCATGTAAAAATCTTTCAGTTTTGCTTAGCAGTTTAGAACATTAATATTGTTGCTTACTGCTACTATTCCAAAGTGCAGCATCTAATCAAGCTATTAATGGATGTCACAGATAGAGCAGTCAAACCAAACTGCACCGGTACAAGTGAAATTTACCCACAAAATAAAACTGACGCTGCATCCTTTGCTCTGGTGGCTTTGAGCATAAATCTTGTTGTGTGTTATCAGCACATTTGTGCAGCTTCGGCACGAGGCCTTACATACATTTTCAAAAAGGAGTACTCATTTAAATCAAGGTTTGTCTAGCAGTTGATGAATTATGAATAGGTCAGCAAGCATGTAGCCTTGGGGATTACTTTTTACAGAATTTGCAGAATTACCTGACAATATTTAGAGAGAAAAATGCACAGACAAATGCAGAAAACAAAGATGCAATACCTGGTCCGTACAGAACAAAAAGAGGCAGGGATTATCTTAATAAAAAGATTGCAGTAGGAGTTCATCAGGTTCTCTTTAGGATTATATAATGCTTTTGTGAATTGGTGTGTTATGAAATAGAAATACTAACGCTTCCCCCAATGTAGTTACCAGCTTGAAAAGGAAATAATAAAAAAAAAAACATGAGTCAAAAGTCCTGCTTTTGTTATGCTATGCTTCTTTGTCTTAGTAGTTTCTAACAGATTTTATATCTTTGCATTTCCAAAGGCATAAAAAGAGACAAATGTGAAAATGTGATCACAAATGTTTCTACTCACCTGCAGTGTTTCTCTGTGCTTTGATGACAGCACATTACGGTGTTTTTCAGTATCTATAAAAAAGAGCAGATCATTGGTATAAAGTATGCATAAACTGATATTGCAAATATTTAGGCTATCAGCCTGCATGCGGTGTAAAGTGTCTACAAAGTACAGATACATCTACATAATATGATTGTGGAAAAAAAGTAAACCAATTCAAGGTTAACATAAAAGACATTTAATGAGAAATGTATTTATTTCTCAGGGGTGATGAGAAAGTTAGCCGAACATTATTTTAGAGCTTTTTAATTTAATTTAATTTTTCTTTTATTTCAGTTTAGCTGAATCTCTTACGTGTGTGGTTAGAGCGAGATTAATCGAGGGAGATTAATCTTTCGGTTAAAACGAGCAGGTTTACTTTTTTTTTTTTTAAGTTGATGGTTAAATTAGGATTAGCATTAAGGTTACCTGTTTAGTGTTTAGTCTTCCTTTTAGTCCCATCATCTACAGTCTTTAATCAGAGTCAGGCTTCGGGTGTGCTAATCACAGAGGTGTTTACAACACGCAGAAATCGCATGGAAGAAATGCACAAACAGAAGGAGTTTAGCAGAGACACTGAGATGTTGGTTAGGTTTGTTCCCTTAAGCAAACAAGCAGAGTATCAGTATATAGATCCCTTAATTAGCTGGACATATTTAAGGCAATATTATGATATATATGAGAGGAGTTCTTACCTCTATAAAATTCCATAAGAAAGTCAGTGTGAATCAATATGTTTATTCACTTCAGAGACTGGATTGCAAGAAAACAGGTATTAGTTTTAAGTAGAGATCAAATATTCATATTGGGCAAGTTGAAGTTTTCTTTATTAAACATTATAGCTGGTGTCTGACAGAAATCTACAAAAAATAATGAATGAAGGAATCAAAATTAAAAGAAAAAATTGATTTGCAGCTTGGTTATCTCCTATTTATTAAGTATTCCACTCAGGATTTAGGTTTTAAGTTATTTTTATTAAATACTTTATGTACAAATACAGATTACACACAGAACAAAGCACAGTTTATGAATTACACACTGTGATGAATGCTTTCAGTCCAAATAATAAGGATGTGTTTTTCAATAGTCCCTAATTTTACAATAAAACCAGGAGTAACTTTTATTTCTGGTGTCAGTTACTTTTATGTTACGCTTTAAATTAAGGAGGGGAACCTGGTTATTGAAATATTTAGAGTTCAAAATGTTGAACAATTTTTTAAAGAAACGTTTAGCTCATTAAGACATTTTACATTCAGCTCTTTGATTCTTGGAAGACTGGTTTCCATTTGTTGCTTTAAAGCAGTCTTTTATGTCAACTCTTTTCAAAGGAATGTGTTGTTTTTATTGGTTTGCTCCCGTGGTGATATTTCTGTAAAATTAAGCACCTGATGAAATGACCAGGAAAGGTGCATGTCCACATTAGTCTTCAAAGAACACAATTTTCCTGAACATATTTGTTTTATGTAGTCCAAACTAATGAAGGTGTCTTGGTCATGTCACTTAATTTTACAATAAACTTGTGCTACACTGGTCGAAAACATCTTAAGTTGTGCTACAATCTGAAGTCCTTATCCTTTAATTTTGTCAAGTCAGCAGGTGAGAATTTTCCTACTTCTATGATATTAGGGGAAGGATTCCAGTATTCCTATGAATTACACTTTGTTAATAGTGTAATATAAAAATCAAGATGGCAACAGTAAAAGTGCATCTGTTGGAACATTAAAAGTGCATCTGTTTCTGTAAAAATAAGTCAATTGCTCTAAAATGTAAAAGTTCTATTTAGGACTGGATGATTAAAATAAAATATAATCTTCTTAGAGTGTTGAATCCTATGATTTACATGCATGTTGCATGCTCCTTTTTTTCTATATCTTCTTCTTCACTTAATGTATCTTATTTTGAATTGGGGTATTTTAATTTATACTCCGTTCAACTTCAAATTAAATTGTGATATTTCAATTTATAGAATGCAGAATGTGAATAGAGGAGATATTAAAAGTATGAAATAACTAAAATGGATGGAGTCAGCCATTTCTACAACAATCAACTGAATGTCAAATAACTCTACTGTGGTCTAAAGAATTAATCCGTTCGAGCCAGACTGGTGGAAACAAAACATTCCACTGTTTACTACTCTCAAGTGGGGATCCTGTAGTGAAAACAGCAACAGTACGCACAGATCTTTTTATTTATTTGTGGGAATGCATGTTTACTGTCCATTTATAAGCTCTCACACTGACAGCAGTACCATAAAGGCAGGTGGCTACTCGCAATGCACGAATTTAATAGCTGACTTACAAAGTCTAGTTGAAAGTAATAAAGAAGTTGGAAACCGGAGGTGCAGCTGTGGCATTCATTGCAAGGTAATTACAAAATGGATAATTAACACATTGATACCTGAATGTATTGTGAAGCTGTTTCTGTTATGTTTAAATTATCCAAAAGACTTTTGGAAATATATGATGAAACACTTTATTTTTCTAACATGATTATCACTGAATATGTTCCCAATTAGACAGTGACATCAAATGATAATAAGAGAGAGCAACACCTTATGTTCCAGTGAAACAGGTGACACCTGTGCTTTACTTCATATAACAACATGTTCTGTGTCATTAGGAAGCATTATCTTTTGGTGTTATGTTACTTTTCCCCCATCCTCCTGTGCAACTGCTTGTTTTATTTGTGTCAATGTGGGAACAACTGACTGGCCAAAATGGGATTTTTCACAGCCTTTGTGAACATTTTTTTGCTTTTCAGCTCCTGTCTCTGAATATTTTAATGATGCTGACACACAAGCAGAACAAAAACGACAGCCTACTAAAACGTAGGAGGTTGAAGTCACCACTTTCGCAATGACTGCATGACTATGTCTGGTTCGGTGAAAAGAGTAGGGGCTCGGCTTGTGAAACTTTAATAACAACTCCAATGAAGCCAATAAATGGAAACCAATCTGTTACAATCACACATATACTCTGAACGAACAAGTCCGTCAAAATTGTGAAATTTCTGCAATAGGGACAATTGAGTTAATTTAGAACTAATTTAAGAACAATCTTCTTGCATATGTGTGAGTACGTCTAAAGGTAAAAAAGAGACTTGATTGTGTATGATTTTATTCACACATCAGAATATTATTGATCATATCTTTTTTATTTTTATTTTAAAATTTGATGATGAGATAGAGAAAGTTACATTTCCTTTTTTTTTTTTTGAAAAAGTTGAAAAAAGGTTTCAAAAGAGAATTGGAGGTCACAAATCTGGAGCACCTTCAGTATCTACCATAGGGATGTTTTCTGTAGCCTCCTCTTGTCAGGTGTAAAGCTGGAGCTTTGAGAATGGGTCTGGGGCTTGTCCACTCTTCTTCTGTGGGAATATACCACATTCACTTTTGTGAAAACTAAATCTCTCAAAACATATGGTGCACATATGTATTGAACTCTGCCGTCTCATGGAATATTTCAGCACAGAAAATAAATTACATCCTGGGAAATACAGGGTTCTCTCACAGCAGGAAATTACTGTCATAACCGTTTTTTCCTCTACTGGACCAGTACTGAGATTAGACTGTCAGAGACTCCTTCCTTGAAGGCAAATTACATAAAGTTGGCCACCTTTGCTATGGCACACTGCACTGTTTTCAAATAAAAGTGTTTATGAAGCAGAAAATCAAACTATTGGCTGCTTGGTTTTCCTTTGGTCTGACCTCAACACCCCAGTGCTTGAATTCATTGTGCTGAAAATAACTGAACCTGCAAAAAGACAGCGACAATCAGCTAACCACTGATTTCATTAGATCTTACAAATGGAATTCAAATAATATTTTATACTTACAGGGCATATTTTCAACATTAATAGATCTTTTATTTCCCAATGGTACTTAAGCTTGTAGAACACAACAGTCAAATTCAGCTCCTTGTTAAAAAAATTTTAAAATATGATAAAATAAACATGTGAAAATTATATCGTTGCTTGCCACTTTGCTGCTCTGCACTGCAAGACAATTAAGGATATTTCAATTTTATGACACAAAAATGAAATATATATATATATATATATATATATATATATATATATATATATATATATATATATATCAAAACTGTTACGCTATTATCATTGTCATGCAAACTTTATGCTCACAAACCACACCCTTAGTCATCTCACAGTTTGGCTAATTACTCCCTGCTCTGTCCGAAGCTTTTGGGGAGGGGTTGGATCTGCAAAAATTTTTTGGTCACAGAAAAAGCATGTTTTAAAATTAAAAATTAGTGAAAAGATTCATTATGATGTATCTGTTTTTTAATACTTTAAAAAATTATTTTAAGTTTTCTGACTCTTGCATAAGAAAAATTAAAGTTTCTATTGCTGCAGTTTCAAATATGCTATTCTAGAAAACCATGTCTTTGGACTTGAAGAAGTCTAAAGATCATGTAGTTTGGAGAAGCATCCAAGAATGATTCATATGCACATAACAGAGGTTAGCTCTATAGAAAAAAAAAAGGCTTTAAGGGCAAAACACCCAAAAGGAAAAACAGCTTGTAGCCTCATGAGCTTCCACTGGCACATTCACAGTTTCACAGTTTTAGTTAAATGCAGCTTGCAGTCAGGTATCGTAGGAGGGGTGATGCGTAGAGGAGCGGCTCCCTGGGTCAGGAAGTGGGCTGCAGGGCTTTTTTCTTTGTCTCTTGGTTGGTTTTAATAACAGTGTAGCAGCTGTTCGGGCTGCAGAAACTGCCAGAATGTTTTTAACATCCTACATTATACTTGTGAATATAGCTAATTACCTGAAAGAATAGTGGAAAATTACAATAGTTTTTTTTCTGCTTCTTGACAAGAAAAACAGTGCTAATTTCAAATATATTACCAGGCCTAGACTTTTCCCAGTGCAAGCATTAAGAATAGCAGCTAAATTGTATTTTAATTTTATGATTGGTCTTGATAAGTCTAGGAATGAGCTACACAGTAGGGAAAGTTTACTCGATAAAGAACTCAATTAATCAGCCTCAAAGTTGCAGAATAATTTTTATTGATGGGCTAATCAAATAATCAACCCCCTTTTCAGCTCTAATAAAGGGTTTTGTTGAACTTTTTCTAAATTAAATAGTCTACACTGGGTCCTTGTCAGAAGAAAATGGTGAGAGTGACTATAGTTCATGAAACAAACTGCTTTTTAACAGCAAGTAAGCCACACTTACCATAGCTGTTGTACGATTCATCACTGGTCCCGTGTCCATGTTCATAATATTCTGAAATGCTATAATAAACACACAAAGAAAAACATTCAGGATAAATCTGCAAATTTGCAGCAGAAAATTTCAAGCCCTAATAGATATTTGGAATTATGAAGCTTGCTAAATTTGACCCCCATGTGACAGACCAACAAAAAGTGGTGCATAATTGTGAAGTGGCAGTAAAATAATACATTCTTTTACATTCAAAATTCTTTTTAATTAAAAAACGACTGGCTGTTTTGGGTCTCAGTCCCCCTGAGTCAATCCTTTGTGGTACTCTCTTTTGTTGAATTACATTTATAGTTTGTTTAAGTTTCTATTGGCTTTATACAGCTACACTGAATTATTTTACTTAATACAAAAAGAAAGTCAAGTGTGCTGCCAAAGTGTGTTTTAATTGAATATTTTTTTTTTGCAAAAGTCTAGACATTTAACTTTTTACATAGCATTACAACAATTAACATACAGAAATAATGTAGTCTACAACACAAAATGGGCCTTGATAATTTGTCAAAACACAACAGTTGTGCCAGATTTGATTGACAGTTCCTATTAAAGTGAGAGGCACCGGGGAATCCCAGATGTGGTTGCACTTTACTCTAGCGATTGCTCGCTCTACAATGATCCGCAGCCGAGCAATGGTCTCTGTCTCTTCCTTGCTGAACTGACCAGGATGCCTAAATGGTGGAATGATGAGTTTGGCTCCAACTTCATGAAGGAGGTCTTGAATGAGGAAGCCTTTATCTGCCATGACTTCATCTCCCAGCTCAAGCAGAGGAAGGATTCCACTAACCTTCGTTATTTCTTTGTCGGAGATGCAGCCTGTGTACAATCAACTGTGCTGAAATAAATGTCACCAACTCACAGGAAACAACTCCAATCAGTCCTTTCAGTGTGGTGTGGTTCTTGTAGGCAGAGAACGTTTCAGACTGTAAGGTGAGGGATGATGGCGTTTCCAGAGCAACTTCTGTGCAGTCCAAGATGACACGGACATTTGGAGAAAACTTCAGAAATTTCTGAGGCATACTGGCTTTTACCTTCTCACGACTAATCCACAGGTTGATGGAAGAAACACAATGAAGAGATAGTTGGCCCAGGTGATGGTCACTCAGCTGACAGTAGCTATGCTGACTTGAAACATGTCAGCAATGAGCTGCTCCTTCATAACCACAGCAACCCTGAATGAGAACATCAGGAACTCATCAATCAGAGGCATGCAGCGGGCAGGGCTGGCTTCAGCACATGCTTCCTCTCCAAGTTTCTGTGCGCTGGTCCAGTAGACCAGGCGTGATGCAGAGGCTGCAATGGACTCCCAGAAGATCCGGAACACACATTCAGATGGAAATTTGGTGTAGAACCGGATCTGGTCATTAGAGGCACAGTAGCGGCTAAAAAGTGTGGCAGACAAATCCACTTTTTGAAGTCTGGCCTCCAACTCCTTAATATAATCCAGAGCTTCATCAAGTGCACCTGTAAAACCACAAAATAAAATAGCAAAACATACAGTTAGCAACAAGTTTTAATTATATATTTGAAACATTACTTCTGTGAAGATCAATATGTTGTGAGTCAGAGCATGTATGTATAAAGTCATTGACTTAATCTTTCCACAAAATACATAACCACATAATCTCATAATTTCATTATTATGTGATCATAATAAAAATAATATTATAGCAACAGTTATATTTTACTGAAATTATCTTACATGGAAAATATGCAATATACTATCTTTTACCTGCGGGTGGACGTGCCGTGTAGTCATGATCCGCAGTAGCATCTTCAGCCTGGCTAGCTTTCTGAGAGAAGACAAGCTGTCGTTTCTTAGCCCTCTCGAAAGCAGACTCTCTCATTGCCGGTGCAGTGAAGTTATTCCAGGCAAACAGGGAAGGAACGTCTCCACTTTTAAGGCGGCTGGTGGTGGATCCGCTAACAATATCCTTCGGTGTGAAGTGGCGGCTACATACGAAAGTGCTCCCCGTCTTTATGCAAAAGTCGAGAGCTTCATCTCTTCGGATCGCCTGGATCCACTGCCTCCGTTAGTCCAGGTCCGTCGGGAACGCATGATATGACAGATAAGGCTGTTTTCTTGCCCCACTTGAACAACCAGGGACTGAACAAAAACAACTGCGCCGAGACTGAGCCATTATCCTAGCCTTTTAATGCTAACGCTATAGCCACCGGAAGTTGTCTAACCTCACATCCGCCCCGGCCCCGCGCACATCCGTCCCGGCCCCGCGCATGCGCATAACAGTCCCGGCCCGCGCATGCGCATAACAGTCCCGGCCCCGCGCATGCGCATAACAGTCCCGGCCCCGCGCATGCGCACATCCGCCCCGGCCCCGCGCATGCGCACAACCGTCCCGGCCCCGCGCATGCGCACAACCGTCCCGGCCCCTGCGGTGGATGTGCTGTGTCATGGTCCGCAGTAGCATCTTCAGCCTGACTAGCTGCCGTTTCTTAGCCCTCTCGAAAGCAGACTCTCTCATTACCGATGCAGTGAAGGGACAGCTCCACTTTTTAGGCGGCTGGTGGTGGATCAGCTCACAAAATCCTCGGGTGTGAAGTGGCGGCTACATACGAAAGTGCTCCCCGTCTTTATGCAAAAGTCGGGAGCTTCATCTCTTCGGATCGCCTGGATCTACTGCCTCCGTTGGTCCGGTCCGTCGGGAACGGACAGATAAGGCTGTTTTCTTGCCCCACATGAACCACCAGGGACTCAACAAAAACAACTGTTACGAGACTGAGCCATTTTCCTAGTCTTTTAGACTTTGTTACTTCAATATTGAACCCTTAGCATTAGTGACAAACATGTAAGAGTTATAAAATAGTGTCTTCAGTCTGAGGCTTCTACGGATTACCTGACTACTGCTACTGAAGATTCGCGTCACCACAGCATCACAACTTGACAATGACTGTCCGAAGATGCTCGGATGATATGAGTTATGACAACATTTAATGCCCTTTTGGGAAAAATAAAGTACTTTTTAACTTTATTAAATTCTCAATTAGATTTAGGCCAGTATTTTCACTTGACCGTTCCAATATATGATTATGCTGTGTTATAAAATATTGCACTGTAGCTGTACATTTGCTATAAATATTTGTTTTTAGTAACAAAAAGCAATGTACCATTTTCATTTCATTTCACAGTTATGCTTTACTTTGTGCATTAACACATTTGTCACCCACTGTAGATAAACCAATAATTCAGGAATCAACAGTTCCACAATTAGTTTATAAAATACTCACCCTGTATATCAATCCTCATCTAAACTGTCTGTGTTACTCAACCATGAACAAAGAGTTTTAATCTGAAGTTGCCGACCTATAAAAGCAGCTCATAAATGTGTAGCTTTTACTCAGTGGGACGGCTCATTAATCCAACAACAGATGGGCACTGTAATGTTTAGAAACTTGCCTGAAGAGGTGTAAATAAAGCATGTGTTTAGGACTATTCACATTGGTAAGTTAATACGCATTTGGTGCTCCAGTGGGGATTTTCAACAACAATCATGGTGATCATGGGATTTACTTATACATTTAAACTCCTCCCGTTGTTCAGTGATGTGCTTTTAATGGCCATTGAAGATGGAGACCACAGTTTGGTTCTGTATAAGTAATTTTTCTACTTTTTGTTACGTCTTATTCATGGACTAAAATATGTGCTGTTAAGCTTAGAGAATTATTAGAACAACCCAACAGAAAATGGATAAAGGCACCTGAAACAAAATGATCTTCTTTAGCTAAATCTCAAATTGACAAAATTTCAAAAACTGCAGCCTTTAGTTATAACTTTTTCCTTCAAACTGATAATGGAATTCAAAACTTTTATATGTTTATAAATGGCCCAGATATTTGGGCGGGGAGCTTTGTTTTTGCAGTTGTATGTGTCTGTAAAAATCACCTCTTTGTCTGAGTGCTATAGTTTTCATCATAGGCTTCGTAAGTCCCGTCTTCATATTCTTCATCATATCCGTCTTCATAGCCCTGCAATAAAAGAAGCAACAAATATTAAAGCTGACATGTTTTCTCATTCCTGTCCAGTGCAGATATGTAAAAATGAATATATAATACAAGCCGTGCTGAGCTACATGGAAAAAGGCATTTCTTTCAGTCTGTAATGCCCAACAGCAATTATTGATTAAAGCTGTTGAAAGAACATGCCTCACTTTTGGAGCCTAATGAGCAATTTCTGAGGCTCAAACCAGATCTTGAAAGTTTAGACATACGGATATGTATTTTTGGTAAAGAAGTGTAAAAATCCTTAAAAATAAATCTTTCAGTGCTGTACTATATCGCAGTATATAAAAAAAAAAAATTACCAACATGCAACTTTTAATTTGAGCATGTTTAATTAGTAGAAAAAGAAAAGAAGTTACAGTAGATAGAGAAATTTTTAATGAAGTCACTGGTGGCACAATTGTTTGTGAAAATTGTTTGTACCTGTAAAAATCAGATTAAAGGCATAAATGTTACTGTAGCATTTCCTGAATTTCTGCTTTACTTTTGTAAGTTGACCAAAGTTATTGGGAACTTTTAATTGGTAATCCGTGACATGACTCTTTTCTTATACTGTATATATCCCTGGGGATAAGAAACAAGGGAGAGGACATTTTCTTTCAGTACTTGCCACTAGAATAGATGAGGACCCATATTTTCCTTGCAACCACACAATAATATGACAGTAAGGGAAGTAATAAGGAAAATCTCCAAAGGTCACTGCTGGATAACTACAGCAGAGTTGCATATTTGGGTCAGCAAACCTCCATAACAGCCATTAAAGGCTTTCCACATAGCAACCATGTGTTTGGGATTACCTTTTGCACCATCATTACAAGTGAAAGGAAGCATTTGTTAAACCAAGTTTGCACTTTAAGTGGCGTTTTGTGCTGTGATTCGGTAGGCAAAAATTTATAAAAGGATGAATATGTGCTAAAAAACTGAAATACAGTGTAAAGTATGGAGGAGGATGTATGTGGCAGGGTTTTTTCCTCTCTATTACAAATGTCATTGTTAGAATGTATGCAACCAAAGAAAGAATAAATGTGAGTCATCACTGAGTATTTTAGTTGGATGGTGAATCAAAACAAATGGGCAAAACGGCACAGAGAAGGTTCACAAAAATAACCTTCTCCAGTGACCATCACAGTCTCCAGACCAAAGGCTAATAGAAAACATGTTGGGAAGAGCTGAAGAGCAGACTGCATGAGAGAACCTTGGCCTCTGGATGATTTAGACAGATTGTGGAAAGAGGAATGACCAAAGTTTCTTTTCTCTGTTTGGTTCAATTTTTGTGAAACGTTAAAGGGAAAACTATGTGATGCCTTGTTGGCCAAACGGGGTCGTAATACCAGCAGGGGTACAAATATTTGATAAAACCAGGGTTGCTGATAGATTTTTCTGTGTCCATAGTAACTTTAATGCAGGTAAAAAAGACCAGGTAGCAGCTGCTAATGTTCAGCGATAAGAAAAGTGACTAAACTACACAGAGCACACTGCAACAACCACCTACACTTAGATGTTTAGTGAAATATCTTCACTTGAGATAACTACATAAAAACATAAAGAGAAATACATTACTGTGTTCCAAAAATCTGGAGTTTGAACTTCTGTTTGTAAATATTTTATGCAGCTGTCATACGGTCCTACAGATAGAATTTTATGGTTTTATTGGTAGTGCTGAATCAAGTGTAATTTCAACCAGGAAAACAACTTGGGATGCTTCACAGTCCTATTTTTTGACTTCTGATTTTTCCAATTTCCATTGATTTACTCATAAAATCCACTTTAAAAGAGCTGTTTAGTTTTACTGTCCAGTGGATGAGTGCTAATAAACTCTGCAGAGATTCTTTCAGTTACGACTATGTGCTGTGAGTAATTAAGTTTTATGAGGTGATGTGAGTGCCTAGTTGACGTCTTCCTCATGGATTTGGTAGAAAGTCTCCTGGAGGCACCACTAAATCTGAAAAAAATAAAGCAATTTCACATCCTTTCCAAACTTTGGTTCTTTTCAGATTTTCTATTAGCTAGAACTTCAAAGATGTCTTCATACACTCATAAGACAAAAGTATTTATTTGAGATCTCAGGATGAACATTTTACAAGCTGGAAAGTCCCATCTCAGCAAAACAAAATAAAACAACAACAACAAAACATAAGATTTATGAAAGAAAACTTGATGCAGTTCTTTAAGTCTTGGTTCATCTCTATCTACATTATTAGTCCTCCTGTATCAGTTTCCCTTTCTTCTTGCCACAGCTGCACCATATTTCCTCCGATTGGTTTATCCCTGCTGGATTCTTCTGTTCCATTCCTTTGCTTGTTTCCATGCTCGTGCTCCTTTTCCTGTTTACTTCATGCAAACAATAATTGCTTGCATGAGTCTTTAGTGACTGCCTATGTCTTTCCCTGTCTCAAACAAGCAAAACATTACAAGTGTAAGATCTCCATCTATAAGTCGCTATTAAACCGTCATGAAGATTGGCCGGAGGAGGCTCATTACTGTGGCCCAAAACCTTCAGAGTGCTGAGGAAAGACACCGGGGATGAAGAGTGAGATGACACAGCCAAACTTGGTTTTGAAAAGCAAGATGTAGCAGCTGAAACTCTGAGAATGATGCCAGGATGCACATGGTGGCAGATTCTGCCAGTCGTGCCTTTTCTCAAAAGACATTAACACTGAGTATTTGGATTTCTTTCCTTTTTTTCTTTTCTTTCAATATTATAGTTGCAGGTTTCGTCTGTCTTTGGTTTTGGTAAACTACAAATAAATATAGCCCCCTCCCCCAAAAAAGGCACTTTTCAAACTAATTTATTAATTAAAAGGAAAACTATTCAAACTATTCAAAAGGTTAAAACCACAATTGGCTAAAAAGGAACACAGTGGCCACACTAACATTTGCTAAAATACAACTTGAAGTGTGTGTCCTGTTACACCGTTTGCAAAGCTAACAAGTTTTCAGAAAAAGAACTATACCGACAGACAGACAGACAGACATGATGGTGGTGGTAAGATTATCTGGGGCTGCTTTGTTGCATCGGGCCTTTACATTTACTTTTTAACAGAAAATCCTTCTGTAAACATCTGGCCATGAGTTTTTGACCTCAAGCACACCAACACCTCTGAATGTCTGACATTCAAATTTGTTTAAATAGTCTGAAACATTTCCGTGTGACAAAAAGGAAATATTGATCTTTGATAAAATTGACACTTAAATGTGTTAGCAGCCTCGTATCAACATGTGTGTGTGTTTCTTATTTTTTCTGTTTCACTGCTGACTTACAGCTGCAGTTTTAAATATTTAAATTTCAAAAGCCTGACCATGAACAGGACCTGTAAACTATATTATGTTTTAAGATATGAATTATTTCGTGCTCTGTTTTTGAATAAATACATTTTATGTAATGCCATCCATATGATTTGAAAACAGAGCATATTTCTGAGAATGGATTTTAATTCAGTAACAAGTGAACAGATGCCAGGGCCCCCAGGTGTGCTGAGACTGCAGTAGAACCACGCAGCAGCCACAACTCCAGTAAGCTCAGCTCCACATCTCCCAACCATCTGCACCAAAAGACTTTAAAACAAAAGAAATATTTCAATTCACAATTCCATGTATCAGTGAAAGGTGGTATTTAAATTAAACACATTTGTTTACTTGCTGCATTATGTGGTTTGCTGTTCATAGTTATATCTTAAGAAAGAAAGTTGACTTAGAAGATCAGCTCTGCTTTATTTAGTTTGTTTTCTAGCACCAATTGAAAACAAAAAATAATCTCAAGGTATTTTACAAGAAAATACTCAAATCACATTATTTAGCATACTATCAATTCAATCTAATTAATCAGTATAAGCTCAGATTCAAGTTCAGAAAATACAAGTCAAATTTGCCCACAATTATAATATGTTATATAGTCAAATTTAGTTAATTACACATTTCCAGCTATTTATCTGCCATTTCAATAAAATCTGGTCATTGACTATGTAACAATTCCTCCTTCTGAGCAAGAAGGTAAAAGTGGTAAAAGTGGAACAAAACAACTTCCTTTTCACAGGAGTCAGTTATCAATGACATAACTAAATGTAAGAGGCTCTCTCAAAAATCATAATCAGCAAAATAAATATGAATCAGAAACACTTTTTTGCATTAAAAAGAAAATGATAGCATTTTTAGAATAATCAATAACCACAGAAAGACAGAAAAATTTAGATATTGGTGCTCCAGCCGTTGCTTCCTCAGGTAAGAGAATTTGTCTAAGTCGACATGACATCAGATTTCTCTGCATGGTCATTTACATGGAACAGAAACAAACCTGCTGGATTTTTGCAGATAAACCACTGTAGAAATAGGAAGTTAAAAAAAAAGATTGTTTGGGTTGGATGTGGATCAAAAGCAGTCTAACAGCTGGAAATGAGGTTTGGGTTGCTCATGCTGTGGGTTTATCTTGCAGCAAACAAGAGATAAAATTAACTACACAACTCTCAAACAGTGTGGCATTGATTTTTAAATACGAAAGTGCAAACTGGATATGTTTACAACAACATAATGATCCTAAAGTCATATGATCCTAAAGTACCACAAATCTGTGCCACACATGGTGCAGTTGATTTTTTTAAAATTACATTTTCCTCTTCTAAACATGGCAGTTTAAATATCCCCCAAAAATCTTTCACTTTTCTCCTTTTACATATTTGAAATGTCAAGTGTACCCTCTCAGATAAACACACACATTTGGGCAATGCCTCCACATTTAAAAATAAATAAATAAATAAAATAAATAAAACATCATATTTAAAGAAGCTGGGTGAAACATGTAAGACTTCATCGTATTCTTTCTACCTCAGAGAGAAAACCTACTCTTTCATGAGAACATATCTAAAAGAAAGCAACTCCACATAATATTCTGTCAAATGGTTTATTCATGAGAACGGGAATAATCAGTCTCAGCAGACCAAACAGCCCGAGTTGAAAATGATGTGAAGCCACAG